GGCCGAGCCGAGCTCGCCTACGAGCAAACTATTCGAGCAGAAGCTCGGCGCGTTTTGTATCGAGCCACGAGCTCGGCTCGTAGGGCAACGAGCCGAGCTCGTGGGGCAATGGGCCGAGCCGGCTCGGCTCGGCCCATTGCCACCACTACTCAACAGTATTAAGCCTATGTTTGGTAGAAATTTAAATCATATTTTTAATAAATTTTGATAAAAGTTGATGAAATGTGTGATTGAAAAGTCGCGGATCCCATAAAATGTGTGGTTAAAATTAATTGTTAATTTTGACTTGAGATTTTAATTTGATGTCAATCCAAACCAAACAGGGTCAAACTGTATATGTTGAGATACATGGCTTAAATATTGTTTTTCATAAAACAACTGGTTAGTTGCCTGTTAAACCAACCATCAAATGTCCAATCCCATGAAATTATTTGTCTCACATTCTTACAAAACTCTTGTTTCTACATATTCATTTTCGATCATACGTTCACACAACAAAATATTTTATACGTAAATTCAAAATTTTTCTTCACTTTTTAACCATAAATCTATAATATATTGAATATCACATCAAGTGAGAATAATTTTTTGGACGATTATATCCATACTAAAATTCAAATATTTCAATAATATCTTACTTATCATTTTTAATATGTATTTAATTTACAAACTATAATAAATATATCAATTAATTAACATTCACGTATGTTTAATTAAATTAATTAAAATTTCACATTCATATTTACATTTACACTTACATTCACATTATTCACATTCATTTAATTAATATTAATTAGAATTTTACGTTCAAAAATGTAATTCATTATTCACGTTCATGTATGCTAATTAACATCCAGTTTAACTTAATTAAAATTTAAATTATATTCATTTAATATAAATAATTTAACATTCATTGTCACGTATATATTCATTATTATTAATTCTAAATTAATTAACATTCACGTTAATTCATGTATCGTATTTGTCATTCATCTTTATTTATACATTTAGTTGAAATTTTATTATTCACATTCAATTATACATTTCACTATTTACATATAATACTTAACATTTATTTCCAGGGACTTGCATCTCTCACATATTTAGATAAAAAGGATAAATGGAGGGGTTAACATTACTTTCACAGAACTTATAAAGTATTTCAAAATGACGTGCAACATATGTTCAACTCTGACTAGTTCTCCAAAAATTCACAATTCAAAAAATATATATTTTTTTTTAAATGACCACCAATCAGAGGCTAAAATATTATATTCAAGATCGGCTACATGAATCAAACCCCGTATTATACAGGTCCGGACTGCGAAAATATCCACCCCAACACCACCCACTCACCCATCCACGATCTATAACTCAACATTTTAATAATACAGCACAGCTGGGCTAACTATGATACCAATATTGTACAAATAAAATTTATGATGGTAGGAATCACACGTGAGCACGGCTGGACCTTTCTGGTGTCTCACATTATTATAAAGTGATTAATAAGCAAAATACAAAGGCATCAACCATAGATAACTGTCCCCACCATTGTTACTGTCATAAACAGCCTGTCCAGCTCCCAACAGCCAAGTATACATATACATGGCCATTGTAATAAATATATCAACCCCACCAAGGATGATCTCTTATACACCAAAAAATTATACATTTATATCGAGTCGAGCATATCAAACATGTTTAAAGGGTTAAACAAACTCCAACCGGTCCACGTGACCAAATAAAGATTGATAGGAATCCTACATAAACAGTTTGCACCTAGAGCACTGTCGGCAGAGAGATAAAAGGACAATTATGAACACAAATCTGAGTGCAGTATACCAGTCAAGTGACTCACAAGATACTTAGCCCCTGTTCGACTCTCATATTTAAGAACTTATTTTACCAAACTCATTTTCAACCACACATTTCATTAACTTTTATCAAAATCTAATTTTCAGCTTTATGCAGTTAACAAGAAGCGACAAGAATTGTACAACAGGTAATACTGCGTAATTGATTATAGATAATTAAAATGGCGATGAAGGGAACTCATGAAAGTGATCTCATATACATGGCCTTTTTATGACATGAATCAAAGCAAAAGAAAAAGAAAAACCACTATGATTTGGATCATTTACAATGTAGCAGCACTGCAACCATGAATAAATTCTAAAAAAATGTCAAAATACTTTGCTAATTGTTCAACTAGATAGATACTATTTTAGAAAAGGTAAGGCGCAGGACCTGTGATGCAAATCGCCACCGCCATTAGAAGGGACACGAGAAATCATACTGACATTTAAGGACTGATGTTGCATTCCCGCAAATATATGTGATCATAGTCAACAAATTTTGCCCAATTGTTATGAAACTTGGGTATGCCTATCTCAAGCCATGGCTTCAAGTTTCCATTATAATGTACAACTGCTGCTCGCTCAATCTCCTTCTGGGATATACTGGGATTATAACCAAGGCCCAAGACATGCCAAGATTTATCCAGTGCATAAGTTTGGTTCCAAAAGGTTATCAAACCAGGTGGCAGAGTCCCGAGTTTCCATAACAGTCTGTCAACATTCTGAGCACAATACAGACAATTTTGCTTCAGGAAAAGCAAATTTTCAGAAATCAAAATGTTCACATGCAGTAAATGTTTAAGAATGTACTATATACCACTATTTGAATACTCAAAGCCAATACACTCTGAATTTAATTGAATAATTAATTAAAAAAAGAGGCCATTTCCCAATTTAGGCGTTATTTTTCATACCCCAATGTTAGTATTGAATGGATATTAACTTGTAGGTTAGTTCATGTGGTCAATGAAAAAAAACGTGCATATAAGAACAGGTTATACTAGTTGTCTTGGAAAAAAAATTATACTTGTCTTACCAGATTCTGCCATTTGTGGTACACCCCTGTGATATTTTGCTTCCTCCATTGCTTAAGATCAAATATATTCATTCCAAATGCCCAACCACAAGCACGGGGATTGAAGTTTTTTGAAATAAGAGGATTCGAAAAGTTGAGGTAACGATCAAAGCGGTGAAAGCTTTCTCCACATGTCTCAACCACACCAATCACCTTTCCCTTTAGATCAAGATACCAAAGAGGAGTAAGATCCTTTTGGACCACTACATCATCATCTAAGAACAAAACCTTGTCCAGTTTTGGGAAAATTTCGGGAAGGTAAAACCGAAGATGATTCATGATAGAGAGGTACTTGGGATTTCTAAATTTCAAGTTTGAATCAGATTCAACACGACGACTCTTGAAGTAATAATCAATCATGGAGGGAGAACCCAACTGCTTAAGAACTGGACTGTAACTTGAGTTCAGCCATGTGAACTCTTCAACATTCTGAACCTGGATTGTAGCTTTGCCTGGTGGGTTTGCCAAAAACCACATCTTCATTGCAGCATAATTGAGCCTATCAGTGACAATGTGGAACACATGGTTTGAAGGATTCTGCTTGGGATGAGACAAGAAGTTAACATTAAAAAAGAAGACTTCATAATTAGAATACATTTAATATGAAAAAGATACCAAAATTCTTTGCATAACCATAATGTAAAATCATTTTGGATTAACTGTTTCACCTTTGCATGAGATATAGTTGAGTTTACAACAACCGCTGTTGCCAATATGTTATCTGAAAACAGGGCATAGTGGTACAGCTTGGGATCTTCTAATTTCTCTTCATTCGGAAAGTGCTGTTGAGAAGAATTCAACATGAAATAGTCCGTTGAAAGGCGCAAAGGAAGACAATGAAGTCCTTTAGGAATTGTTTTGGCAGTTAGATGTGTCAAAAACAAGGCCTGTTTCCTGTGAACTCGAAGCTGATCTTCAGTTGAATGGAGCATTGCACGAAGTTTCTTTGCCACAGCAGCACAATCATCTTGTATTTGCTTGCCTTTTGACAAAGTAAGCTCCATAGCCTTCAACTTCTCATAGGCACTAAAATTAGATGGCAATTCATATTAATAAACGATAGCACAAGAACATGAAAAATTAAACAAAAACAGACAGACAACACATAGTTGAACCAAAGAAAACACCTATTTGACAATTCCATGAGCTTTTTGATTCCTTATAAACATTTAGAAAGTTGTAATATTCAACAAAAAGACTTACTTTCTTGGTAACTCAGAATCCTTGCTGGCGATCCCAAGTGCTCGTTGAACTTCCTTCATACGCAATCGGAGCTCCCTAATAAAATGGGCATTGTTTCGAGTTGCTGATAGGGAAAGATAAACCTTTCCTCTAATGAGCTGATCTTTAAGAAGACGAACATGTGCATCTGGCAAAATTGATTGTTCATTCTGTTTCGCAGTTGTAGTTTTTGCTTGCTCCAATGCACTGTCTTTCCCAGAGATTTGGAAATGATGTCGCCCATGTTTTGTTTCCTAAGGAAGCTCAGAGAGAGAAAATTGGAAATTTAGACACTAGGTAAAGCCCACTACACGCCCAAATCCAAAGAAAACAAAAGATGAAGGAACTACGAAGCCAACCTATAGGCCTCAAGGCTATAACCCATATATCTAAAATACATTCTAGAATTGCATTGATATCAAAACTAAATTTCCATTCCAACCAGTGTTCCAACAGTCATGTGCATTAGGAAATGCAAAGGTACTATCAGAAGAATATGTTAAAATTAAGGTAAATCTAAGAACTCCATTTTAAAACAAATTCAGTCTCGACACTTTTCAATACTAGACTAGAGGTTATAACAACATAACTTAATCATGAATTTGACAGAACGCCAACCCCCTTCTTCTTCCCCTCCTCTCTTCATACAGAACATAAAGATAGATAATCTATACCCTAAAAGCAGATTTTGATGCTTGACAATCCAATACAAATCAGATCACCATGCATCATCCAGAATGGAAAGGAAGTAAATTGCACATCTCAAACCTAAGCATGAAAATCTAAGCAAGGGATTTATGAATTATGGCATATTAGGAATGAAAATCACAGCAGGAACTATAAGGTACACGAACACATAGAATTAACCTTGTCTAAGGAAACATTCTCCATCGTGTGCTCCGAATCCTGTGACTTCATTTCTTTCTTTGCTCCAGTTTGTGTTTCCCAACTTCCATTTTGACCAATTGATTTGGTCTTCTGTGAGCTTCTTCCATCCGTCTGAGTTTCAAGGACCATATCAGTCACCTGTCTTATGGGATTCTCATCATCCACAGACTGATTGTCTCTGCTATTGATGTTTGTGGTTGATAATGTGGTTTGGCCTTCCATAGATTCTGTTGACGCATCAACATAATTAAACATTTCACAAAGTTGACAGAATCACAACCCAAAATTCAATCTAATTCAGGTCATGGGAAAATGTAGGTAATAAAAAGATAAAGATGTGAATAAGTACCTTCAGTAAGCTGTCTGGTGACATGGGCATTCTCCCCATCAGTAGCATCAGAATAATTTGAAAGAGATGGAGTCGAATTCTCTGAATAAACAATGCCCAATGGTTCTTCCAGTATTGCAGATGACTCCTGTCAAATAAACCAGAAAAGTAAAGATCTGAGATTCCATATTTGGTTAAGAAAAGGAAAATCAAAATATTATTAATATATACCTGAGGCAGTACATTTAAAGGTCGAACGTCACCACCAAATGTCTGCAAATAGAAAATGCAAGAATTGGAAAGTTATCTTTACCCATTAGAACAAGGCATACATCTACAGTTATAGGGTCACAAAGAGTGACTTACAAAGGGTGAAACATCTTCAATAAATTCAATTTTAGCTGTAAAGCAGAAAGAGAAATACAGATCAAGCAAACATTAGAATACTTTTACAAACTAAAGAGAAAAAAGAAGAGGAAATGAAGACGAAAAAGAACAGGGAAAATAGAACATTACAAGAAGAGGAAGTAAAATAGGTTGCAAGAGTGTCGGTGTAGATAACAATAGGAGCAAGAACAGTCACCATAAGCAAAAAAAACACTGATTTTCTCAGCTTCATCTTCCTATCCTTTTACCCTCACACCAACAAGCCTCAAGGTCTCAAGACCAAATCTTTATGCCCTAAAATCGTTAATACAAACATCCCAGCGAAGGGGAAGTGAAGAATCTCTTGAAAACCAGGCTTTTCTCCTGAATTTTGACAGAATTTTTAGATTAAAGAAAGCCTCAAGAAAAGGAGTGTGGATTCGAGGTCTTTAATGGATTATATCTGTATGAAGAATCTTTCTTACATTCGTAGCAAAACAGACAAGAAATGTCGGATGGTCAAAAACCCACAGCAACAGCAAAAGCAACAGCCAGTGAAATGAAAAAAGTAAGAATCTTTATATAACTTGACTCTGAGACAATCTGTTCAAAAGAAGGGAGAGCAAGAGTAAGATGAAGATGTCCTACGAAGAGGAAAGAACATAAAGGAAAAGTTTTCTTTTTNNNNAACATAAAGGAAAAGTTTTCTTTTTCTTTTTTTTTTTTGGATGCGGATGTGAATTCACTGCAGTGAATTTGGGCGGTGCGTGTTTTACTCTGTGTTTTTAATCATTACATATTTTGTTTTCCTCTTTTCATTTCTTTTCTTTCCGTTGTAATTTTAGACGTTAAGGAAATAACCCACAAAAATCCAACAGAATACACACAACAACAAGTGGACTCCCATTTTTTAGACAATATTTAAATTCAAGTGAGGCCCACCTCTTATGTGAGTGAAATTCAAATTCCGGTACAAAATCTGATTTTTTGTCGTATACCTGCAGCATTTTTCAAAAAAGTTAAAATAATTTGGAACCATGCTACAGTGCACGAGTGATTGACCGCGGGGATGACCGTGCACACACAGGAGTGGATTGGATTATTTTATTCGGGGGGTGGGACCCACACCGAGGCTGTGAGTGTGCGGTCATTCCCCCGGTCACCGGCGCGGGTCGTTTAGCATTATTCAATAATCTTAAACCCATAACCAAATTAACAGTACCAATATAATTCTTGCTAAACTAGAGCCATGTTTGGATAGAGTTTATAAATTTTTAATTTTTAGCAAGTCCAAGACCCACACTTGCCATAAGTAAGAGATAAGCTACGCAAAGTGTCGGTCCTACTCCTCCACTTTCAACAAAGTTTCATAATTATTAGTAATAATACTATAATTCGGGCTAAACTAGAGCCATGTTACTTAAATTGAAAATTCCTAAGGATAAATCCCGTAATTATAACTTCACTTTATTTTATTCGGGTAATTCTACTTTAATTTTATTTAATCGAATAACTACATTTTGATATGATATCAATCAATTAATCGCACTTTATTTTAATTGAACAATTATATATTAATTTAATTTCAAGTAAGACAACTTTGTCAAATTACAATAATGATAATTGAGGACGTGATGGTCTACAAATGTTAGTCATTACATGTAATAGTTGGTTCTTGAATGTGAAATAAACACAATTTCATTAAAATAAGGGGCTCATTGTTAAAACACCAGTCAAATATTGTTATTGGATAAAATGGTTTTTCTCGAAGTTTGTTTGTCAAATGACCTCAATTCAAAAAATCAATAAATAAAAGGTATAAAATGTCTGAAATATCCCTATCTTGAAAAGACACAAATAACCTTTCAATCCAATTAATTTTCTCAATTCATCTCCAAGACTCCAACCATGTCAACGTACGTGCTCTTCGTCTATGTGCTTGCTATCCCAAAAATCTTGTTATTCATTATATTCCTCACNAACATAAAGGAAAAGTTTTCTTTTTTTTTTTTTTTTGGATGCGGATGTTAATTCACTGAATTGGGATTTGGGCGGTGCGTGTTTTACTCTGTGTTTTTAATCATTACATATTTTGCTTTCCTCTTTTCGTTTCTTTTCTTTCCGTTGTAATTTTAGACGTTAAGGAAATAACCCACAGAATACACACAACAACAAGTGGACTCCCATTTTCTAGACAATATTTAAATTCAAGTGAGGCCCACCTCTTATGTGAGTGAAATTCAAATTTCGATACAAAATCTGATTTTTTGTCGTATACCTGCAGCATTTTTCAAAAAAGTTAAAATAATTCGGAACCGTGCTACAGTGCACGAGTGATTGACCGCGGGGATGACCGTGCACACACAGGAAATGGTTGGATTATTTTATTCGGAGGTGGGACCCGCGCCGAGGCTATGAGTGTGCGGTCATCTCCCGGTCACCGGCGCGGGTCGTTTAGCATTATTCAATAATCTTAAACCCATAACCAAATTAACAGTACCAATATAATTCTTGCTAAACTAGAGCCATGTTTGGATAGAGTTTATAATTTTTTAATTTTTAGCAAGTCCAAGACCCACACTTGCCATAAGTAAGAGATAAGCTACGCAAAGTGTCGGTCCTCCACTTTCAACAAAGTTTCATAATTATTAGTAATAATACTATAATTCGGGCTAAACTAGAGCCATGTTACTTAAATTGAAAATTACTAAGGATAAATCCCGTAATTATAACTTCACTTTATTTTATTCGGGTAATTCTACTTTAATTTTGTTTAATCAAATAACTACATTTTGATATGATTTCAATCAATTAATCGCACTTTATTTTAATTTTAATTGAACAATTATATATTAATTTAATTTCAAGTAAGACAACTTTGTCAAATTACAATAATGATAATTGAGGACGTGATGGTCTATAAATGTTAGTCATTACATGTAATAGTTGGTTCTTTGAATGTGAAATAAACACAATTTCATTAAAATAAGGGGCTCTTTGTTAAAACACCAGTCAAATATTGTTATTGGATAAAATGGTTTTTCTCAAAGTTTGTTTGTCAAATGACCTCAATTAAAAAAATCAATAAATAAAATGTATAAAATATCTAAAATATCCCTATCTTGAAAAGACACAAATAACATTTCAATCCAATTAATTTTCCCAATTCATCTCCAAGACTCCAACCATGTCAACGTACGTGCTCTTCGTCTATGTGCTTGCTATCCCAAAAATCTTGTTATTCATTATATTCCTCACCTATCTTCTTCAACATTTTGAGTATTTGAACAAAAATTTTGGTTTCTATATTATTTATATTGAAATCTCTATTATATTTGAAGAAAGAGAAAAGTATTTTTGTAAATCTCATGTACATTGGTC